AATTATTAACCCTTTGACTACTGTTGGCGCCTATTGGCGTCCGAAACACATTGGCTTTCCGGTACTGTAGGCGCCAATTGGCGTCCGAAACATATTGGCTTCCCGGTACTGTAGGCGCCAATTGGCGTCCAAATCAAATTTCGCTTGTTCCGCCTATTTTAAAATTTTATAATTGGTCTTATGGTAATGTAGAGTAATGTAGAAAGTTATTTAAAAAAAGCTTAAAATTAATGTTCACTTCAAGTAATATTCGTTTAATGTAATAAATTTCAGTATTTTGAATATTTTAATATACTTCCTCAGAAATGCATGTCTAACGAAAAATTTCGCCGTACCCAGTGGACGTCTCGAATGAATTCGTACCGTACCGTACGGCCAGTGCGTGCCAAAGTCTGCCGTAGTCAAAGGGTTAATGAAAAACACTGACCAATGAGAGCAGGTGTAGGGCTCTAGCTCACCTATGGTATTATTGACTCCGATCATGGCGCTCGCCACGCGTGCTCTCATTGGTTAGTGTTTTTCGTTAGTAATTCAAAAACGATGCTTTACTTTGTATTTTGCCAAAGGACATTGTTGTTCAGAAACACCTCCATTATCATTCATTTTCGACTTTACTAAATTGTTTAGGACGTCCTGTAAATATTTAATTTGGTTGCACGAGAAATCGCTGATCCGTTGAGTAATCATGGCTTACCTAAAGAGTTGTACAAGAAGTAGCATAAAGCCGGCATCCAGGAGGCCGCGGTCGACGAGGCTTTGAAAACATGAAGAAACTCGACGAAGAGTACGCCGAACGACTTGACTGTGCCCGGGATAAGAAAATTAACGACCAGCGCTGAGAAGAGCACGACCCAGCCCCATCCTCCGTCCGGCGGTATCAATTTCGTTTTCACGTTCTTTCTTGTCATCTCGAACGCTCGTAGAAATTCACCTGCAATCGTGCCAAACCCGATTACAATACAAATCAGCTTCGTGCCTTGAGTCAATTTAGTCTTCACGCCTCTACGTTCTATTCTTGATTCTTTTAATCTTACTTAAAAGTGTTTGATTTTAATTATAAAAATGGTCGATTGCAAAAGTGAAAATTGTACATATAGTACAATCATTCATCGTGATCGTTGATTTTTCAAGAGTACTTTTCGACAGCAGGAATTATCAAAAGCTGTCATTAATCGCGATTACAAAGTACCTTGAAACACAGCGATTTCACTGTTACAGGCAATTTTCCCTAAAGATTACAGATCCTTGGTAGGAAATAGGCAGGCGAATTACGTTTCAAAATCCACTGGCGACTCTTTATTGCAAATGATATTAATACAGTTATTTTTAGGAAGACGTCACATTTGTTATAAATAAAGTTTTAATTATTGCTAATTTTAACTACTAATAAAGTCATTATGAGAAAGACGTCATAATTGTGATAAAAGTTTTATATAAGAATTATCATTTAGAATCTAAAGTGATCGTTTGGCTGTGGATTTTAACTGTTAATAGAGCCATTTTTAGGAAGACATCATAATCAAATAAATGGAGTTTTATATTAAAATTGTCGTTTAGAATCGAAAACGATTAGTAGACTGCGGATTTTAACTATTAATAGAATCATTTTTAGGAAGACGTCATAATCATATAAATGGAGTTTTATACAGGGTGTCCCAGAAAAAGTGTTAAAGCCGAAAATAGGTGATTCTGAACAACAATTTCGTTTAGTAAAATGCAAAATGAGCCATGGTTTTTGAATTATTAATGAAAAACACTGACCAATGAGAGCACGCGTAGGGCCCGCGCCCAACCACGGGTAGGTTGACTCGGATCTTGACGCTCGCCCATAGCTTAGCGCGGGCCCTACACGTGCTCTCATTGGTCAGTGTTTTTCGTTAATAATTTAAAAACTATGACTTATTTTGCATTTTATCAAAGGAAATTGTTCTCTAGAAACATTTAGAGAATCACCTCTCTTCGGCTCTAACACCTTTTCTGGAACACCCTGTATAATAGTAAAAGCGTGTTGAGTGCAATGTACAAATTTTTACATTTATTTATCTCAGCAACTACTGGAGCTATTTTATTATTTTTTTTTATATCGGGGTAAGTGAACCCGAGGAAATCGATTCTGGATTCAGATTTCACGAATGATCAAAGAATAAGCTGTTTTGCAATAGAAAGGTTATAAAAAAATCACTAATAATTTGCTCTCTTGCTTGGACTATATAGAATCTTTTACAGTCAAGCTTACAAACTACAATCTTTATTAATTCATAAATGTTGATGTCATATTATTCTATTGACCTCTTCCATCCTGCCTTTTTCCTTACATATTATGTAGTAAACCAGCTTTTTAACATCCCAAAGAATTAATGGTAGTCACTGTAATTAGTAAAAGTAGGTACAAAGAAGTAAATATATGAATGTTTCCTATTTTTATAAAAATTTGTTACATATGTGTGTATGTATATATGTATGTATGTTTATTAGCCATCCTTGCCGTATTGGGCATAAGAAGATACAATCTCTTCTTTATAGTCAAGCTTACAAACCAAAATCTTTATTAATTTATGAACTTTAGTGTTATATTGCTCTACTGCCCCCTTCCATCCTGTTTGTTTTGTTACATATTATGTAATAAACCAGGTCTCGTATCATCCCAAAGAAAATGAAGTAGTTAGATCCAATATTAAAAAATGTATTCCATTTTTAATTGTGTAGACCAATAGGAGTCACTGTAACTAGTGAAAAATGGATATAAAGAAGTGAAGAGTATATGGAAAGTTTCATATTATTAACAGAGACTTCAGTAAACGAGTTAGAAATCATATCCTTTACTATTTTATTTACAATTCCATAGTAAGTAATTTCTTTCAATTTTTTATTACACGTTATATAACAAACCAGGCATCCTGACATTTCAAAGAAAATGTAGTTGTTTCATCCAATGTTAAAAAAGTTATTCTATTTTTAAGTATGTATGTCAGTGGCAGTCACTGTAACTAGTAAAAATTAGGTACAAAGAAATGAAGACTATATGAGATATTTTTTATTTTTATTAGAAATCTTAATAAAAAAAAGTTAAAAATTATGACTTTTACTTTTTTTTGTTCGCAATTCCAAAGACTAGCAATTTCTTTCAAGTTTTTATCACACGTTGTATAGTAAACCAGGCATCCTAGCATATCAAAGAAAATGTAATTGTTCCATCGAATATTAAAGAAGTTATTCTATTTTGAATCTAGTCCGAACATTAGTAATAGTCACTGTATATAAAACTACAGTTGACTTGTGAAAATAAACGAGCACTGAAAATTTGAAAGTCAATTAAGGGGAGCGACAGAGCGTGAAGTAACAGAGGATCGGTGGGTAATTGAAAAACGGTACGGGATTATAATTAATAGAATGCCTGTCCGAATGACTGTAGATAGATCGGCGCGTGTGCCGCATGAGTAAACGCGGGTTGGGCCCGTCCGGCCGTGCGGAATGAAATGCGGTTTTCATCAGAACGCTCGTTCAATGAAACCGTAAGGTAAACGTGCCCCGTTTACCATTGATCGATTACGCGAGGTAAACAAGAATGCGCGATTTCTACGTTTCTGAGTGCTGGCTGCGTACTCCTCGGCCTATCTAATAAAAATAGATGAACCTCTGCGCAGGTTCGCACTCTCCTCGTGACGGGAATTCGCAGTTTCTAAATGCCCGCTCACGGCTAACTGTGAACACGCGTTTTACCTTTTCCTTTTCAATGGATGAATTGTTCGTAAACAAGTAACGCGATCGCCAGACCGCAGATTTTTATGCGAAACGAGACTCTTCTGGTGTATCGGTTCAGAAGATGAAACCTTATAAGAATTTGAGTTGACGTGCCTCACGTGTTCTGATACGCACTTCGCGATTGATACTTACAGGTGCAAAT